TAGAGATCAAAATATGTTCACCCATTAATCAGTATACAGTGACCCGTGCTGTGGAGCCTCCAATTTAATGGGAAGTGTTAATGCTCCAGAAAATTCAGAAGATGAAGTCTCACCAGATGATGCTCCAGAAGATCCTCCTGCCAATGTGATGCCGTCAACTAAACAACCTCAATATTGGACTGAGTTTTTGGCCATGGAAGAACAACGTTATAATCAGTGCCTTCAATGGGAACATCAAATGGCTAATCAGGTCAATTCGTTGGGTACTCAGTTTGATACATTTGCTACTGTGCAGAACTCATTAATTCAACAATTTGGTGAGTTCCGTTTGGACATTGAAAGATGTCATGAAGTAGCAAACAATCGCATAGATAGGATTGAGCATCGCGTAAATGACATATACCATCACTACTTCCTTCCTCTACCACCACCAGATAATGATTGTTGATGTGCTTCACATTATATATTTGCATTGTTTTGTATTTTGTTATTTTAACAACCTTTTGTTGGGTCAATTTCTTTTATAAATGTAGTGGTTTTGTCTTGTATAATTTAGTAGCTTCGTATATCATATTATCTGATATAAAATCCTTTGTTAGTTTTTCACTTACATTGCCTTGGTAATACATGTGCACCATCTTTTGGAGCTTCAGTGATGCCATGTTAGTTGAATTTTATTAATAAATTAAAGAAGGTACTAACCATAGAATTTGTTCACTTCCATTGCCAATCAATACATCTGTAGCATGTTTTTCACTTCAATTGAATTTTTGGGGCATGACCATGTTGTAGAGACATGAGACCAATACATTTTGGGGCATGACCATGTCGTACCAAGCACAGAATGAAATCAATACAATTATATGTTACAAAAAAAAGAATGAATTACAAATAATTCCAATACAAATAAAACAATTATTAACAATTATAATTGTAATGGACTGAGAATTGAATTCTACTTTGGGATGTACTTCTGCAAATTTAAACTAGGAGTGTAAGGCTGCATTTTTAAAATAAAAACAACTTCTGGTCATTCTGTACCTTTAAACAATGATGAGAATGATGTATGAATATTATTGTAAAACTGATAAAACATGCACTGAAGACTAACAACAATTAAAAATGGAAAATAGAATCCCACTAACAATCACCACTAATTTGTTCCTTTTGTGAAAAAAAAAAATTATGACATCGTTTACATGGTGTTTTGAATAAATAAAAAATTATAACACACATTAATAAATTTATTTTTATCTGTTAATTATCTAACAAATATAAATCATTATGTTCCATTTAATAAAATTTTGATTACATGATTACTTATCACATTAATAATTCCAATACAACTAACCAATACATGTTAGATTTAATATTTTTAAATAATAAAACCAATAAATGAAACCCACTAATATAGAACCTTTCAAGGCAATCTATTAGTTGTTCTCTTTCATTCCTCATAGATAGGAGTTTTAGTTGTTTCTCCCTATCTTCGGCCCTTCTTCGATGCTCTGCAGCCTTCTGCTCACGGTCTATCGCCTTTTGTTCATCTCGCTCAATAGTTCTAGCGGAGATAGTTGATAACACTTTAACAATTTTGGATTGGTTGGTAGCCATTTCATCAAATCTACTATCGTGCATTGTTTGATAGACATTGAACTTGAAATATGGCAAAAATACATGGCAAAAATTCATAAAACCCATAAAACTAACCAAAAGAAGTTAGTTGTAATAATTTTAAATAATAAAACCAATAGATGAAACCCACTAATACAGAACCTTTCAAGGCAATCTATTAGTTGTTCGAAATAAAATCTGTCGTTGAAGATCTTCGTAGTATGCCCTTTGCATAGGATTTAAAATTGTCATGTCCATTGACATTATTTTATGATCTTCATTTTGTTGTTCTCTTTCATTCCTCATAGATAGGAGTTTTAGTTGTTCCTCCCTATCTTCGACCCTTCTTCGACGCTCTGCAGCCTTCTGCTCACAGTCTATCACCTTTTGTTCATCTCGCTCAATAGTTCTAGCGGAGGTAGTTGATAACACTTCAACAATTTTGGATTGGTTGGCAGCCATTTCATCAAATCTACTATCGTGCGTTGTTTGATTCTTCAACTTCTCTTTCGCTGCCTTAGTATCAATTGGTCGTGTTGATGTATTAGATGGTTGTTCGTGCACCGCATTATTCTGGTTGGGTTGAAATGCCTCATATTCAGTTGGTGGATTCGAACATGGATAAGCATGTTGCGTACTTCTTTTGGGTTGTGTTCAAAATTCATCCCAGTTACAACTTCGGCGCAAAATATCCCAACATGTATCAAATGTGAAGTGTTTTTTCTGTATTGCATGATACATCCGCTTCGTTTCAGCGACCCACAAAAAAAAATTACAAAAATTTCAATAACAAGTATACATTTAGAAAAGAAATTTGATATTTAATAACACAAATAAATTTTACCATGTTTGCCTCAGCTGTTCCACTTTGTTGCCTCAGTTGAATTTGTTCAAGAAAACCACAAAATTTATTAATTGCCTTCTGCATGCCAGATCAACGGTGAGACAAAGAAATACGGTTTCGATTTGATTCACCGCTCAATTGTGAATTAAAATAAACAAGTACTCGTTCCCAAAATGTAGCCACAGTCTGACTATTACCAGTAATGGGATTTTGAGAGACTGCTAACCAAGATCTACATAAAGTTTCATCTTTTATAATTGTGAACGCTTTACTACGAGAAACACGAGAAGTTTCTGAAATAAAATGATTATTAGTGTTCTGCATGTTCTGCTTTTATGAAGTTTCCGATGTAAAATTAATATCAGTATTGTGCTCCAACATTTGTGATTCCTCAAACATTTCAAAATCTTCCATAGTTTGAAACAAATTCAGTAGATACAATATCTAACTTACTGAAAAATATTAGAATGATATACACTCAACCTCAGAATCAGATAATATAAATCTTTTATAATTGTGAACGCTTTACTACGAGAAACACGAGAAGTTTTTGAAATAAAATGATTATTAGTGTTCTGCGTGTTCTGCTCTTATGAAGTTTTCGATATAAAATTAATATCAGTATTGTGCTTAAACATTTGTGATTCCTCAAACATTTCAAAATCTTCCATAGTTTGAAACAAATTCAGTAGATACAATATCTAACTTACTGAAAAATATTAGAATGATATACACTCAACCTCAGAATCAGATAATATAATCAGATAATATAAATTAAAGTGCACTGAGAAAATTTTTTATAATGACACAGAACAAACAAAATTCACAGCATATAATGTAATGCTATTATGAAAATGAAATACTATGTCAACCCAACTGAAATTCACAGCATGATATTACGAAATAGATATATTTTATAGAGCACATCAGCAACGGTAAATTTTCAGAATACTCTGTCCCTCCAACGGTAAATTATTGGAACGGCTAGTTCTGAAATATGTATCTGAGATGTAACTTTTTCAATTATATTTTCATGGGAATTTAAATTTATATCACCCTTCTAATTATTCATAGTCCACAAAATAACCTATCTCAAAATAAACCAGTTCAAAACAGTTCGCACCTGTCGAACAAAACAAATACAAAATTGAGGAACCAGTCGACCGGTTGGTCAACCGGCTGGACAACCAGCTGGTTAACCGGTTGGTCTCCCCCAACGGTAACGCACAGTAAAGTAGTGAAATCTGGAACCTGTTCTCACTTTGATAAATTTTTTGTTCCATTCTCATTTTGATACCAATTTGCTGAAACCATTGGAGCTCCAAAAAGTGACTTTTTCACCAAATTTCAAATTGGTTGCAAGGTTTGATGAACCGTTGGAGATGGCCTTATATATTAAAATTTGCTCATTTACCATAATAATTGTCAGTCAACAAGATACATTTTGTTTACACCGTAACATCATTTGAATTTTGAATCGGAACGGATTAAAGTGCACGCAAATTGAGGTTTGTTTGTGCGTTACTATTCTCAAGCAAATAAGGGAAGCTAATCAAAACAAAAGACACTCTACTAATACTGAAGTCTCGTTTGGGGTGAGATTATTTTAGTCAAAAAATTAAAAAGTTATTATAAGTTGTTACATGACTCTCTACTTTTCTATACATCTTTTCATAAAAAATTAAAAAATTACTAAAATAACATATTTCTAAACGAGGCCTAAAACATTGCTTTGTTTAACATGGAGTTAAAATGAGGTTGCGGGTGAAAATAGTCACAAAAAGATAAAATAAGTTAAAAAGTCAATAAGACAAAATGTCACATTCAAACCATAATCATTTTATTTTTTTCTCTCACACAAGTAAAAAAAAAAAAATTAAAAAATCCAACCCAAACGAGGTTTTTAGCCTAAGGCTATAACTAAAGAGCAAAAAAAACTAACTTCCCAAACGAAGCCATTATCTACTGGGCCCAAAGAGTTTTCCCTTGGTCCCTGGTTGGCTCAGGAATTGGTGTATACAAATTGAGAATGACCAAGTATTAAATCAAGGTTTCTATTAATAAAGGGTGGTGATAGAGAGCTCTAAATTGAGCTCTACTTATGTGGTAATGAGAAAAGAAAAGAAAAGAAAAGAAACTATACCGATTTAGAGCACTAAATTGGAAGCTTTAAAAGCACCATTAATGAGTTGGCAAGTGCAAGAAAAAAAAAAAAACAATGGCCAAACTATCACATCAATAGTGAGATTCACATGATGCCATGTCATTAGTGGTACATTAGTGGTGTTGAATTAGCCGTATGAAGCATTTTTCAAAAAAAAAAATAATTAATAAAGTCAAAACATCACATCAATGAATGAGCCCTACCTATTAAAACTCCTTTAGAGCCGTTGGTTTAAAGCTCTCAAATATATTTTTGATTAATAAATTACTCTTAGATTAATTAATTCTTCGTAATTAACTATTAAAAAATAACATCACACTATGTAGGTTTGCTTACCAAAAAAAAAAAAAACTACATACCAGGCTTAATAAATCACAGTGAGGATAAAGATCAAATAAAATTCATTATTATAAAGAAACTTTCAAAATGAGAGAAAAATTAGAAACAATACAAGTATAATACAATCCACACAAAAGTGGAGAAATTTTAATCTCTAACCTCACATGACGGTGGGGAGATGCAGGCTTTGGCCAATGGACTAATCGGGTGATTAGTTTTGACTAATATTTTATTATAGTAATACTATTTATTAATAACAATAAATATTAAGCTAGGGATTAGTACAAATCAAGCCTCAAAAACTGAGATCTAACTGAACATAGAGTCATAGTACTTGATCCTATATTCATCAGACTTTTTTAGCTCCTGCTGCATTGAGTTTTGCATGTACTTGTTCCTTGTAGAGTTTAGCATCAAATTTGGGTGTCCTCTTTCCAGTGCCTGGCCAAACCCCAAAAAAGAAATAAAAATTATTATGTCAAGGAGAAAAGCCAATTTAAATAACTAAAATTCATGGAAGAAAATTTAAGCCACTGCATGGTTCTTTCTTACGCTCAATTTTTTTAGGCCGAAATAATTTTTAGAAAATATTATAAAAATTAATGGAAAATATTTTTTTATAATTAACAGAAAATAAATTTATTTAAATAGAAAATATTTTTTATTCTTAAAAAGCAAAAAATGTTTCCAAACTAAAATTTTATCAATATCACCGTATTACCACCACTATCATCATCTCCACCACCACATCACCATTGTCACGGCAACGATTACTATCACCACTATCGCCACCACCACCTCTACTAGCCCAGAGCCACCACCACTACACAACTATCACTGTCGCCACCATCTCCACCTTCATCTCTACCTTGTCACCGCCACTACCAAGCACCACTAATATAACTATTGGTATATTAATTCCAAAAATACAACCAAATATAAGAAAATAATTTCTCAAAAAAGTTTTCAATAAATTTTTTTTTCTAAAAAACTTTATCTAAAAAATATTTTTTTGTTAAAACAAATAAAACATTAATATACTTTTCCCAAATATTAACAACGAATTTACATTTCTCGACCACTTCTAACTACAGGACTCATGATTCTCATATATATGTCTTGTGTTCAAAAACATCAAGTGGCGGACCAATGACCACCTCTATGGTCTTAGGCCTAATAATTATCCGGTATATGTGGAATGGAATAGTTACATGTACCTAAGACTAGTTAGAGTAAAACTCGAACACTTTTGTGCGCCAAGAGGAAAAATTGATGATCTATGCTTAGTTTGATAACAATGTTTTTATTATTATTATAAGAGTGGCGTCACACTCTTAAATACTTTATTTATATTTTGACTTTTAATGAAGTGAAAAAAAAAGAGAATAAAGAGAGAGATAGAGAGAGGAAGGATGAGGAGTGTGAATTCCCTTCTTCACATGATTCATTTTATGTCATTGGGGATAGATTGAGAGTGCTCAATTAGAACTCTCAAGTAAAGAAAGAAAAATAAAACTAACTCGAGTGGATTTTACTAGAGCAAAGAAAGATAAAATTTACCTAGAACAAATTTAGAATTATTAAATGGTCAAATTAAAAAAAAAAATTAATCTCCAAATAAAAATAAATATTTTCAAAATCTTTAGTATGAGGAATCAATTTTTTTTTTTCCAGTGCCTGGCCAAACCCCAAAAAAGAAATAAAAATTATTATGTCAAGGAGAAAAGCCAATTTAAATAACTAAAATTCATGGAAGAAAATTTAAGCCACTGCATGGTTCTTTCTTACGCTCAATTTTTTTAGGCCGAAATATTTTTTAGAAAATATTATAAAAATTAATGGAAAATATTTTTTTATAATTAACAGAAAATAAATTTATTTAAACAGAAAATATTTTTTATTCTTCAAAAGCGAAAAATGTTTCCAAATTAAAATTTTATCAATATCACCATATTACCACCACTATCATCATCTCCACCACCACATCACCATTGTCACGGCAACGATTACTATCACCACTATCGCCACCACCACCTCCACTAGCCCAAAGCCACCACCACTACACAATTATCGCTGTCGCCATCATTTCCACCTTCATCTCTACCTTGTCACCGCCACTACCAAGCACCACTAATATAACTATTAGTATATTAATTCCAAAAATACAACCAAATATAAGAAAATAATTTCTCAAAAAAGTTTTCAATAATTTTTTTTTCTAAAAAACTTTATCTAAAAAATATTTTTTGTTAAAACAAATAAAACATTAATATACTTTTCCCAAATATTAACAACGAATTTACATTTCTCGACCACTTCTAACTACAGGACTCATGATTCTCATATATATGTCTTGTGTTCAAAAACATCAAGTGGCGGACCAATGACCACCTCTATGGTCTTAGGCCTAATAATTATCCGGTATATGTGGAATGGAATAGTTACATGTACCTAAGACTAGTTAGAGTAAAACTCGAACACTTTTGTGAGCCAAGAGGAAAAATTGATGATCTATGCTTAGTTTGATAACAATGTTTTTATTATTATTATAAGAGTGGTGTCACACTCTTAAATACTTTATTTATATTTTGACTTTTAATGAAGTGAAAAAAAGAGAGAATAAAGAGAGAGATAGAGAGAGGAAAGATGAGGAGTGTGGATTCCCTTCTTCACATGGTTCATGTTATGTCATTGGGGAAAGATTGAGAGTGCTCAATTAGAACTCTCAAGTAAATAAAGAAAAATAAAACTAACTCGAGTGAATTTTACTAGAGCAAAGAAAGATAAAATTTACCTAGAACAAATTTAGAATTATTAAATGGTCAAATTAAAAAAAAAAATTAATCTCCAAATAAAAATAAATATTTTCAAAATCTTTAGTATGAGGAATCAATTTTTTTTTTTAAAACCATAAGTACGAAATAATATTTATAAATTATTAAAAAGAATATTTCTATTTTTTTAGTGGGAAATTTTTAAAAAATATTTAAATTATATATTAAAAAATTCAAAACTTTGTTTCTGCTAGGGTAGACATGGGTCTAATGGCCCGCACACCTTAACCTAATATTTTCAGCGCTTGGAAAAATTATTTGGCATGGAAAGTCGAGTTAAGCTGAGATTTTCTACTCATTTAATATTCGAACCGAATTTGGAATAAGAATTTCTAATCAAGCCCGGCCCGGCCATCCCATTCCATCCCATCCCATCCCATTTATAAAATATTGATAGTAGTTTTATATTTTGTTAGTTAAAAAATAAAGTATAAAAATTATATATTAATGGTAGTTTTATATTTTGTTAGTTAAAAAATAAAGTATAAAAATTATAAAAGATAAAAAAATATATATAATTCTTTCTATGGCTTATATTAAAACATTTTTTAAAAGATCGTGTTAATTTTACAATTGAATTTTGTTAATGTTTTAAATTCACATAATAATTAAAATGATCTAAATTATTTAATATTCCTTCAAGACAAAAATAAAAAATAAAAAAATTAATAATCTACATCTTTTGGGTTAATGGGCAAATTTGGGATCAGAAAATGTTTTAGTGCTGGACTTGGGATGGTTTGATTAACAATTGAAAAAAAAAAAAAAAAGAAGACAAAAGTTAACAATTGAACAATGCATCATTCAACAGTATGGAATCCGTGCCTCGGATTTTTGTAACTACATATTTGAACCATGATGGCTTTGAATTCCAATATTTCTGATAAAGAGAACATGGGGGATGAGTTAAATTGGCATTGATATATGTTTGAAGAAGGGACTACCAAATATATTAACAGGTGAATTTGAGCCTTGTGTTTCGCAGAAGCTTTCACAGGAATTCTCACAATCAGACATGGTGGTATCCTCCTCCGCCAAACATGTAGGCATGCAGTTTTTGGCACAATCTGAAAGTGCTTTGCCGGTGATGGCACTTCCCATCACAACCAACGCTACCGTTGTCAAGATCAATATGGTAGTGAATTTCTTGGCAGCCATTTTTGCTCTCTTTCTCTCTCTCTCTCAACAAGTTATGTTATGAGAAATCCTAAATGGAGGATAGAATGAAGAAGTTAAGGTGGTCTCTTCATGTGTATTTGCATTTATGGCATAGCCTATGATGGGTAAAGAAAGGACATGCCCCAGTTAGATGTGGTTTGGAGAACAATAAGGAGAAACTCGAGGTTTATGAGAGGCCACAAAGGAAAGAAAAGTAACCAAGAAATTATTTGTGGGTACTATTTGAGGATCCATGACAATGCCCAAATACTCTATCAAAATGAATACACTACCATGATTTTTTTTATTTTTTTGGCTTATGTGTACATAACTCGTTGTCATCTGAAAATAAACACATAACATCCGTATGATTTGTGGATTAAAATGTATCATCAGGCCTGTTAACAATTTAATTGAAAAGACTAAAATATTTTTATACATAATTAATCTCATTATGCAAATTTTCAATATTTTTGTCATTTTTTTGAAAGCAAATTAGTGTGATATACGTCCCTATAAATGAGCCCATAACTCATATATTTTAGCATATGTTTCACGCTTGTTAACTTGAATGAAATACTTCTTGATGCACTTTAGTTCACAAACCACAATAGAGACTTGTGGTTATTTCCAAATAATAAAAGGATAATCTACACATAAACCAAACTACAATGAGTAAAGTGAAATTTGATTGTTATTACTTGATTAATATAATAAAATATTTTGCATCCCTTAATTTAGGAAAATTCTACTTACACCACTATCTGCCTCCCTACACCCATTTTTTTTCATTACAATTGATCAAAATTTCATTTTTTCTCTTTACACTTTTCAATATAACAATTTTACCCTCTTCTTTACACCCCTAACTTTCAAATCCTAATTCTACTTGTGGGAGCCGGATATTATGGGGGCAATAAAGCCAAATAATGGTATGCGGACAGTCAATGACGGAATTTATATTCGGTTTCATCATGGGCGATCCCAAAGCTGAATATATTAATCAGTCGTGGAACCAGTCGAACAAAAGCCAAATACATAAACGTGCAATGGATTAAGGGTGGGCCCGATCCTGTGGCCCAAAAGAAAAATATAAATAGAGGAGCATCAGTCAAAGAAAGGTATGTGAGAACAAGTAAGTTTAACTTGAGATATAAGCAACCAAGAGAGTATACACTGACTTATTTGTCAGAGTGCTAATTCCGGCACCCCCAACTGGAGTGTTCATTCCTTTTCAGGTGACTAGCTGAGGATCACGAGCGTCCTACAAGATCTAAAGAGTATTTCCAAACCACTTCTCCACAATTGGCACTGTCTGTGGGAATACTCCAGCATATCCATGGCAGGCGTGACGGAAGATCCTCCGGTTGTCGCTGACGACCTTACGCCATGAGATGATACCACTCCAAGCAACATGCTTGGGCCAGAGAACATTGCCGCACGAAAGGCCTTCAACTTGGACTCAGTTGCCCAGACCTACCCTCGACATCAGCACATGAGATAATGCAAGCGATTATGGATCAGGCGAAGCAGAATGAACAGAGGTTGGAAAACATGATGGCTGAGAACGAGCGCCTTCGATAGGATTTGGCCTTGGAGGTGGCAAAATCCCAACAGGCCACGCGCCAAGATCCGAGACGACCTCTGAGAAAGGATGGTCGACTACCTCGAATTCGGAGACAAGATAGTGGTAGTGATTCTGACTCATCATCCCTAGAATCCAAAAAGAAGGGATGAATCGAAGTCTCCAGTTCTTCTGAAGGGAGTCTACATGCACGGAATAAGCGATGAAGAAATGATTCAGACGAAGAGGATAAACAAGACCCCTTTGTGCGACGGATCGCAAGGGTAGTGTTACCCAAAAAGTTCAAAGCTCCATCGTTCACCCTATACGATGGAAAATCGGACCCCACTGATCACATCCATCATTATAAGCAAGCCATGACGTTACATGCAGATGATGAGGCCCTCATGTGTCAAATATTTTCGAGCAGTTTGGGACCATTGGCCGTCAGATGGTTGTAGACACGCCATTTTTGACCGTCCTCAATACTTGGACGTCATCGTTTGAACACCCGGTGATCATCCATGTTTGTGTTCGTTTGGAGTTCCCGGAGGTCTCGGCTACGCGCCTTGCCTCAGGATCTCCGAACTCGACTGTTTAGTGTCTGGTTTTGCACCAAACACTTGTGTTTTGCCTTGGAGGGGCAGGGAATGCCTTGTGAGGCATCCCCACACATCACCGGCCATGGCCAGAGACCACCGGCTGGTGTTTTGTTGCCATCGGCAATGTATATTGCCGGTCGGCATTCTTTGTTGCCGGTCGGCAGTCCATTTTGTCAAAATGGCAATTTTGAGCAGCCGACTACTGTTCATATGCTTTTGCAGATATTTTAATACAGCTGGCTTGCATTTTGTTCCCCTCCATACACGTGTATGGAGGGATGGCTTCCTTGTTAGCTTCTTGAGTAAGCTTTACAAGATTGGCTTCTCTATAAGAGGAGCCCTCCTCTCTTGGCTTTAGGGTTAGACATTTTAGAGAGAAAAACATTGTTAGAAGCTCTGGTTCTAGGGTTAGAGCTTTTATATATTCTATCTCTATATCTCTCTCTCTCTTGAGTGTTCTAGGCGTATTTGTTCATAGTATTGCACACAAACACCTACCATTACACCTTCCCTTGGCTATTGAGGTTCTAAGGGATTGTTTTCAGAGTTTTGGGGCTGGTTTAAGCTCAAGGAAGCAGTTTGTCCACCATTTGTGAAGAAGGTCTTCAAGGGTAAGAAGTTTGTCCCTTTATTCCCCATTTTTGCATTGTATTTTTTCCTATCTTAGAATTGTTTTTGAGCTTAGTGTATAATATAAAAAAGTTCTTTTTTTGGGCCCTCTAAATAGTTTGTTTAGAGTGTTTTGTGGTTTGGAGGTGTTTGACCCCTCTTAAGCCTTGAGAGGCTCCATTTTGTGCCATTTTGAGTGAGCTCCGAGACCTTGGTGTTTGGGCCTCCTCACCACTGAAATCTTGAGGGATTTTAGAGGTGAGGATGGTGCCTTGAGGTCCCAAGAAGGAGAGGGTCACCCCTTCTCCTTGTTGTCCTTGAAAAGGGCCATTTTTGCCTCTAGCTTAGGCTCTTGTTGACCATGCCTTAGCTGATTTTTGTGCTTATTATGTCATAATATGCCTCTGTTTTTACTTGGTTTAGACACACCATGCTTGCCTTGCATACTCGTCTTGTAATGCCATGAATTGCCTTAACATGTGCCTAGCATTTAGACCACTATGCTTACTTGTTTTGGCCTAGCTTTGTGAAGCTTTTATGCTTGTTTTAGCATGCTTAATGTCTGTTTTTGGTTGCTTAGGCCATCCATGGCTTGCTTTGTATAGCTACCATGTAACCCCCCTTGGCTTACCTTGAGTTTTAGACCATTGTTGCGTGCTTAGCTTGTCTTGTCTTGTTTACTTGGTTTTGCACCTTCTATAATATGATTTCAGAGCTTTCTATGCATGCCATGTATCCATCTTTATCCTCTCTTAAGTGTGCTTAAAAGTTGCTCTTTGGTGCCTAAGTGTTGGACCTTGTGTGCATGCATGCTTGTATGTGTTTTGGCCCTCATTTCCATGGCATTTGGCCACTGATTTGGGCCTATTTGAGAGATGCCCATTTTGGTTTAAGACCATTCCCACATGTCATTGCATGCTCATCCATCTTGCATGCTCGTTAGTTTGCATAACTTGCATGCTTGTATGTTTACATTGCTTGTTCACATGCTCATATTGCATGCTTAGCTTCCATGCCTAGGTTGCATAACATTAAGCATACATCTCTTGCCTCTTGAATTGATTATGATGGAGGTTGGGGCCCATTGTTTGTTTTGTGCATTGCATTCCATATTGAAAAATGCACAACTTGGTCTCTTGGGCTATCACGCATTGAAATGCGCATTTGATGGTCCGAGAACCAAGGACCATGTCCCTTTGAGTCATAAACATGATAAGGGATATGGTCGGTGCATACATTGCTTGAATTGCATTGCCATGCAAAGCCCTGTCCTCTGCTGCTGCCAAACAGATTCTGCAGGAACGTTTTGCCGATCGACTGCACAGAGTGCCGACCGGCAATTCATATGTGGCCGATGGATTCATTTTTGGCCGATCGACACCAAATCACAGCCGATGATAAATCCCTCCAGCCGGTGGCATTCCCCAACATCTAGTGAGCACATCCTGAGACTTTAGCAGTCTTCAGAGAAGCAGAGCAGGGAAAACAGAGGCAGCTTGTGCATGGCAGTGGACCTCCGAGCAAGACCCGAGCACGCGTGCATTGAGCCCTCTTCCCGAGGCCCCTTTTTTTCTTGCTTTCTTAAATTAATTAATTTGTTTAATTAATTTAGTTGGTCTGTAATAATCAATTAGCTAGGATAGTTAATTCATTATTCGAATTGTATTATTCTTTCGGTCCCTCCGAGCGAAGGTGAATTTGTAATAAGTGTGGGTGAGTGTGTGCATGTCTTCCAACCCCCACTTCTTTCTCCCTTTTACTTACCTGCTTTGATGGTTAGTAATAGGTCATGTTTAATTTAGCATACCTTATGCTATGCATGCGTGCATCATTCATCAGTATTGCATGCACCGGGCTCGACGCATCATGCTAACTGCATTAGTATTTCAAATCTAACTTGAATACATGATGTTGGTGCATTTTCACATGTCATTCATAGACTATTTATTTGTTTGAAAATTTTCAAGATAGTACATGAACGATGAGTTAGTGGGAGTGATGGGCATTACTGTTACGGAATTAGTGCTTTTGATCCCGAATAGAACCACAGTGCAAATGTCTTTTCGAATCATGCCTCGTCTAGATCTACTCTTATCGCTATGAAGATCTTGCTGGATTTCAAAACCCTAACTGGAGAACCCTAGCAAGTGCTTATTGTACTAATAAATAAATAAATAAATGAAAAGATTATCAATTTTAAAAATATAGGGAAAAAACTTGGCCTTTGGCACCGAGCCAGGGTTTCTTAAATTCCCCCATAAAAAAATATTTAGGTGACGACTCTATATCTGGCAAAGCAGTCCATGTTT